TCAGCAGTGGCAGCAAAGGGCTGTAGATGGAGTAGCCTTCTAGAACTGTCACCAGATTATACGAAGGCAAGAGATAAAAGTCTTAAGGTGTCTCCAGGTAACTAACTGGATCCTTGAATAAAGCTCAGGATTCATAGGAATACAGAAGTATTTAGCATCTAACGACAAAGTAAAATTCACAATATCTGGCATCTATTCAGAGATTGAGACATTTCAAAGAGGGATGAAAACATGACCCATAAAGAAGAGAATAATCCATTGAAACCAACCCAGAACTGATACAGATTTTAGAATTAGTGAGGAAAAATAAAATAATTATCAGTGCTGTATTCCATGTGTTCAAAGTGTTAAGACAGAAGATATAAAAAATACAAAGTTGAATTTTTAGAAATGAAATCTATGTCTGAGGTGGAAGATACAAAGAAGGGATTAAACATTGCAGAAGAGTTGAGGAACATTACTTCTTGGGCAGAACTGATTGTTTCTTCTTCAATGCCTAGAGTACTGTTAGCTTTTTTATTATTATCATAGATATTTGAGAGAAAATGTAATGAATAGGTACCGTTACAGCTAGCTCAAAAATATTTTTCTGTCTGTAAATATTTCTTGTCAAAATATCTTGGGTTGCCTTTGTATGTGGTACTGGGGGTTGAACCCAGGGAGTGTTGAGCTACAACATCCTCAGCCCTTTTATTTTATTTTTTATTTTGAGACAAAGTCTCACTAAGTTGCCCAGGCTGGCCTCAAACTTGTGCTCCTACTGCCTCAGCCTCTTGAGTAGGCAGGATTGCAGGCATGTACCACCACACTGGCCTTCGGTATCATTTTTATTGAGAGAAGACTATAGTTAATAATTACAAAATTAAAATAGTAAGCTCTGGAATTGTATGTGTTGGGAGTTTCGTTTATAAGATGTATGTTTTAAAAATGGTGCATGCCCTGCAGTTCCATCACTCTGGGACGCTGAGGCAGGAGTATGATGAGTTCAAGTCCAGCCTGTGCAATCTAGAGACTTAGCAAAGCCTTATCTCAAAATAAAAAATAAAAAAAGGAACAGGATTGTAGCTCAGTGCAGAGGCCCTTGGTTTCATCCCCAGTGCCACACACACACACACACACACACACACACACACACAAAGATAAAAGTTCAGAGTAGTTATTTTTTATATTGTTACATAAATGTGTGATTTATTTTCCTGGCCAGCTGGTAAACTTCACAGGGGTGTTGATTTGTCTTTTTACATCTTTTGAAGCTCTTTAATTACTTAGTATGGTGCGTCTGGTAGTGCACAGTTGGAGGGACCCTCCAGCTCTGACACTGTGAAGTCTAATCAGCTACATATAAGGCAGCACCAGGAGCGTGCCTGGGAACCAAGTATAAACAGACAGAATTGTCACAGGGATCAAGTGGGTGGGAAGGGAGGCAGGAAGACCCTCACCTGACTAAGCAGCCTTTTAATCCTATTTAAACAGAGAGAGAGAAAATTAAATTCTGCACAGTTCTCCTCAGAGCTCTGTCTTTGCCCATAGCTGGTGCTGATTAGGCCAGGTGTGTCTGGGGCTAAGTAGAAAGCACTTGGAGATTCATGTATTTGGGTCAATCTGGGGTAGAGGCTTAAAAAGCAAATGGGAGTCCACCAGGTATCCTAGGAAACCGTCCTCCTACTTCATGGGAGCCACACTGCATTTCGATGGGGGAATCATTTCCTCATTTCTTGGTCAAAGAAAAAGCACCTCATTTTCACTGGCAACATAAGGAACAAGGCTTTGGAACCCCAAGTTCCAAAATGTGTTGCAGGACTCACATAGGAAAGATTCATGCATTTTATAAATCAGAACAGTCTCCACAGGCTCAGGCCAAAGTACAAAGTACAAAATTACTGACTGGGCAGATAGAGGGAGCTGATGTCGAGCAGCCTAGGTGGAATCCAGAAAGCTGTCCAGCCTCTGGGATAGGGTTGCTGAGCTGGAGTCACTCATGTGCTTCTTGTGTTCCCAGTGTGGCGTTGTGCTGGACCTGTTTTGCTCAGAGGACATGGGCAGATGGGCTGCTCACTGCATGAGCAAGAAACGCAGGACTGGGGAGGGATGGACCGGATATTAAGGGAAAGAGCCCAGATCTTTAGGAAAGCATTACTGTCCTTGATGCTTTATCATTGATGCTAAATGGTTTAACTACAAAGAGGTAAGGATTTCCAGTTCTTTCCTCTACGTTTACTTGAATTAGTAGAAAAAGAAATTCTGTATTAAAGAAATACCACTGATTACAAGATGCCCTGAAACCCTGACCTACCAAGTGCAGCACAGGCACAAAGAACAGCCCAGAATTGACCCCACTGGAGGACAGCTGGAGGAAAAAAGCTTCCAACACAGAGGTTTACTAAACGGAGTAAGAGTGACTTTAACCAGTTTAGCAGTGAACAAGAAGTACAATTGAGATCATGTGGAAAATGCAGCAAGAGAAGTAGAAGGGAACATTCGAGAGGAAGTCACTAACCCCTCAGCTGTGCTCTGGCAACGATGTGTAAGCTCTGTGTGAGCCCCAGGACCAGCCAGGATTCTGGCTTGGAGTGAAGGAGAGAGGGAAGAGTTCAGAGAATTTGCATGAGAAGAGTGCTTGACACAGATCCCAGGGCACAGAGCACCTTCCATCATCTGAGAGAATCTTACGGTACTCGTAAAGGAAAATAGCGTACCAAAGAAGAGGATCCCTCTCTGATTTGTGTGTTTGGCCCAATAAAGAAAATACTCATGATGAATTACAACAGTGCACTCGCAACTGTCCTCAGCTTGGTTGTGACTGGGCTCCAGAACCACAAGAGCTCCAGAGGCGATGGACACCTGAGGTTACCTTGATGAGGAAACATGGAAGCAGGAGAACAAAGGCAGGACAGGAGATGAGCCCTGGGATCGCCACAGCCCATCATGTGAGAGTGTCCAGGCAGTGCAGAGCCCAGCTGGCTGAGTCCAGGAGGCTGAGCTGAGCTTCTAAGGATCAGGACCCACAAGAGAGAGAGAGGGGAGGGAGCGGCGCAGAGCTCTGAGAGGAGCCCCGTGGTTGTGCTGCAGAGTACTGCTCAGCGTGCCTTTGAGGAAACGGCTGGCTCATGGGACAGTGGGGATGAACCCCGAAATAACTGCTGAAAGAAGACAGATTTTTTAAAGTACATGTGGTATGATCCCATTTATATAAAATTTTAGGGAACGCAATAAGCCATAGTGAACGAAGTGAAGACCAGTGATCACAGAGGATAGATTGAGGAGGAAGAGGGTATTAGTCAGCTTTCGGTTACTGCAACAAGCACCTAAGGTGCTCCACTTGTGAAGAGCAAAGGTTTATTTTGGCCCACAGTTTTGGACCATGATCTGTTGGCCCCATTGCTTTCGGGCTTGTGACAAGAAGCACATCATGGCAGGGTGTGAGTGGTGAAGCAAAACTGCTCACCTCAGGGCCGGAAGTGAAAAAGAGAATGAGGAGGCCTGGTGCCACACTCTCCCTTCCCAAGGCACAGCCCCAGTGACCCGACAACCTCCCATTAGGCTTCACCCTGAAAGGCCCTGCCTCCTATAAACATGGCTCTGCAGGCATCTCTGTAATACAATGCCTTTAACTCTCTTGGGAAGACACAAAAGGGGAATAGCTGGTTGAATGGAATTTCTAGTTTTAGTTTTTTGAGGAATCGCCGAACTGATTTCCATAGAAGTCAATAGTTTATATTTCCACCAACAGTGTAGAAGGGTTCCTTTTTCTCTGCAGCCTCACCATCATTTGTTTTTGGTTAATTTCTTGATGATGGCTGTTCTTTCTGGAGTAAGATGAAATCTCAGTGTTGTTTTAATTTGTATTTCTCTAATGGCCAGCAGTGCTGAACATTTTTTCGTGTATTTATTGGCCATTTGTACTTCTTCTGTGAAGTGTCTATTCATCTCATTTGCCCATTTTTTGATTGAGTTTTTTATGGGGGAGTCTATTTTTTGAGTTCTTTATATATTCTAGATACTAGTCCTCTACTGAGGAATAGCTGGCAAAAATGTTTTCCTGTTATAGCAGCACAATTCACAATAGCTAAATCTTGGAAGCAGCCTATATGTCTATCTACAGATGAATGGATATAGAAAATGTGATATTTACACACTATGAAATACTGCTCTGCCATAAAGAAAGATAAACTTGAGTCATTTGTAGGAATATGGGTGCACCTTGAGAGCATAATATTAAGAGAAATAAGTCAGATACACAGCTTAAGTATCATATGTTTTCTCTTGAGAAACCCAAAGTATAAATAAATAAAAAAAAAAAGATAGATAATAGGAAGTAGGGAGATAGATCTTTCTCAAAAGGGGAAGGGATCAACTGAGGGACAAAGGGGTGGGAAAGGTGATGAAAAAAAGAATTAAGATGTGTTACGTGCATGTACCAGCTCCATACAAGGAATGTAATCATTATGTACTGCAAACATGGACTAATAAAAATCATTGAAAGAAAAAGTCCTGCTTCCTACCAAGAGTGCCACACTGGGAACTAAGCCTTCAGCACATACAGTGGCCTTTGGGAGCCATTGCAGGTCCAAACTATGGCAGAGGAGGAGTGAAAGATGACAAGGGTGCAAGAAAAGGAATACTGCGTATGCTCTACCCGGACTGAGCAGATGGTTGCATAGATTATTATTCATGCTGAAACTTGTATAACTTTTAGACTTCAAATACTTCTAGTTGATTTTGTCAACTGTACTTTAATAAAGCTCTCTTTTGAAATATACATAAAAATAATGCAAAAACAGAACCAGTAACTTCCAGGGTTGTTCTAAGAGAAGGAAAGGAAGGAAACAAGCTCACATAACCTCTTTGCAGCTCTTTCCCAATGAAACATCTTTTACTAGGAGTTTTGGCATTCTAAGCTCTTTCTGGATTTTAGAGATATGAGTATGTTGGTTAAATCTATGTGGTCAAATATCGCCCTTATCCATTAAGATACAACTTTATGCAATTTTGTGTTTCAGGATTCATGAATCAAACAAGGGAACAGGAAAACTGGATTCGTGCTGCTGCCCCAGAAGGAGCTGTAAGTTTTAGAAGCCAAACCTGGTTTCAGTCCCTCAAACAGCAGAACTAAGAAGAGTTTAAGTTATGTTTATGCTTTTTAACAGTGATTAGCAGATGCGTGACAACAAAAATGCAAATAGCATCACTGGTGTGCATAAATGTTGAAAACAACATTGGGCATGAATACAGGTGAACTATTTGAGGGGGGCTTTTTAAAAATTTGAACTTAGCTATTGTATTTATTTCCTGTTGTTCTGTAACGAAATACAGTAGTTCTCCCTTACTCTTGGGGGGATGTGCTCCAAGACTCCAACGGATGCCTGAAGCCACAGACAGTCCAGAACCCCGTATATACCATGTTCTCCCTATAAATACAAGGACAAATTTAATGTCTTTCCATCTCAGTTAACACTGGGGCGCTTTTGCAGATTGAGATGTAGTGGGAAAACCAGTACACATTTCTTCTTCCTTCACAGTTGCACAGATAAAGGATTCATTCTCACCATAGATGGTAGCAACCTCAGCAGCTAGTTCTTTCTCTTTCTGTATTGAGAGAGAACTTTCACCTTGTCACATCAGAGAAGTGCTTTCTGGGGCCCTTATTAAGATGATGTTATTTGCGTCCAAACCCTGTGGTGACACTGGGCCAGGATGTACACCACCTGGACTTGCTGGACCCAGGGATGCTATGCGTGCTTTGTGGGGTGGTACAAGGTTACACTTTGAAACTCAGATTATTTATTTCTGTATGAAAGATCAGCTGCAGGTAATTGATACCATGGAAGGGAAAACCTTGGCTAAGGGAGGGCACCTGTATCACAGATTTAGTGGTGCACCTTGGGCAGGTTAAGAGCCCCCAGGACTGGATTCTCTGTTCCCAGTATCACAAGGCTGGAGTCTAGACCTGGCCAGGTGGAGTTCTCATCTGGAGGCTCTTGGGAGAAATCTGCTCCCAAATTCATTCAGATTTATAGGCAAAATCCAGTTCATTAGGACTGTGTGATGGAAATACCCATGGCTTGCAATCACTCTGAGCCTCTAGAGAACACCTGAATCCCTTCCCATGTGCTCCCCCTGTCTTCAGTCCAGCAGTGATAACTGAGTCCTTCTTGTGTTTGAGTATCTGACTTCTTCAAGAGCTGGCCAAATCTCTGCTTTTAAAGCACTCACTTGATTAGGCTGGACCCATCCCTATGCTGTATGTAAGGTGACCTGCACAGCTGCTGCTCCCCCAGGGGAAGCCAGAGAGCTTGGAATTCTTATGTTGTAGCCCTCATGTGACAGACTGTCTACCTACTACCTCTTATGGCAACATTGTAAATGTAAGTTTTGAATAAAACACTTAAAAATATGAAGCAGTTGCTACTGACTGTTAATATCTTTTACATAATTTAAGATGTACCTTGTTCGGGGGAAGAAACTTGCAGTTGTTAAATTCCCAGATGTATAAAGATAGATTTTCACTTTTATAATGGTGTACTGTAAAAGTTATATTTTAAACTTTTTCTACTCCTGGAACATTTTAATTATATAACACTGAACAGACCTATTTACTGAATTATATATTTTTGATTAGGATGTCAGTTCTTAAACACTAATTTTTAATAAACTTTTCCAAATGGTGTGATTTAGTCTTCTTTTTGTTTATAGTCCATTTCTTTAGCGTTCTGTTTCTAACTTCATATTTAATAAAAATCTGGGCATGGTGGCGCACACCTGTAATCTCAGCAATGGGGAAGCCAAGGCAGAAGAGTCACCCCAAGTTTGGGGCCAGCCTGAGATACATCTACATTGTGAGCTGAAGGCCAGCCTGGACTACCTAGCAAGACCCTGTCTCAGAGAAAAAGAAAAAAAGAAAGAGACAGACACAGAGACAGAGAGACCTATGGGGGAGGGGGAAGAGGGAGGGAAAAGCCATCTTTGTGGAAATAGGATTTGCACAAGCTTGAAAGGTGCCCACATGCTGGTGTATGAGATGCAATGGTGGTGGATGTGTTGCACTGTTAGGCAGAGGAGAGCTGAGGCAGTGGGGGAGTTTTATCTTCCATTTTCACCCTCATGCAATTATGTAAACATTTTCATGACTAAAAATAAAGTTGATGAAAGTGGCCAGCAACAGCCAGAAGATCCTGAGTACAAGTGCAGCTACATTTAAAGTTATTAATGGAATTGCTCCTATGCTCCCCTTGCATAGCTCTTTTTCTACCTCATAACCCCCCTTTCATGTACATTTCTTTGCTTCTAAACTTTTATCTCCCCAGACTGAATGACCGGCTCTCCTGTTGCGTAAAAGATGTGTTTCAAAGACTTGCAGAGCAAACTCTGACCATAAGGCAACCTGCTGGGTTTCCAGAGAGCACTGCTTTCCCTTAGCATGGTCTTCCCGGGACACCATAAAGGTGCTGCTCGTTTAGAAAACAGCATGTCTTTTACAGGTCTCTCCAGTGGCGAGCATGACACTTAGGGTCAGACTTACGAAGCCAACTTCTACACAGCTGCCAGAAATCTCCAAATTAGTTAAAATTCACTCTCAACAATGTTGTTTTAAGTTTCTTGGCTCAAGTCTTGCTTCCTATTCAACTCCCAGGAATCTCTCCACTACTTATTTAAAAATTTTTCAAAAAGAGGGAATTACTAAAAAGTATTTAAGCTAACACAGAATACCCTATAATAATACTTTGTACAGCCCTTTAAAAACTTTTCAAAATAACTTTCATGTCATTTGTCTTAAATTTTTATCTTTATTTCAAACTCATGCTGTACGAAAAGGCAGGAGTCAACTCCATGGAGCAGATAGATAATTGAGGAAATAGGAAAGTTGAAAGATTGATCTCGGGTCCGGGCACAGCCTGTGTGTGGAGGTCAGAATAGGGCTGTGCTTCCGCCTGGACTCTGCCAATGTCTGTGCTATGTGACGTCAAGTACAGGTACAAACCCATGGGCGAAGGCTTAAAGTGATACGCAGAGATGCCACCATCAGCCCATACCTCCTAGCAAAAAATTGAGGGAGCATCTTTTTTGGCATAGTGCAAACTTGATTGAAAAGATCTTTCTGAGACATTTACAGGTTTGCAGACGTTCCTGTTTCTATTTCATTTATCCCTCACATTTTGAAATGAATCCAGGGTTAGTTGGCATTTTGTTCTTAAATGCCTGGAAATCATAAGAAACCCCTTTTCCTTTGAAAATATATGTCTGTGTTTTTTATAATAAAGTTTCACAAATCCTTAAAGTCAATGCCCTGGTTCAAATTTTTACTCTGACTTTTATGGCTATCTCTCCTTTCCTGCCCAGAGAGAAACTTCTAAATTCCTTGTCCAAAAAGTCACATATTTCAGGGTTATTTCCTGTAACTGTCACCTTAGATTTTATAATCTTATCAAAGCTATCAGTTTGATTGAATTAAGTCTAAGAATCGTCATTGTTTAGACAGAAGAAATAATGATGTATTTAGAAACAGTTGTAGCTGGAATAAGAATCAGGAGATGATTTGCTGTTTGTTTACATGGTTGGTGTGGTACAGTTAGTAAAAATACTTACATCAAATGAAGAAAAGTTGCCAAGCTCTAGATTTTTTGTTTTTCCTGCTTGAGGCCGAAAGTCATACTGCTTCCTTTTCATTATGCTGTGGTGACTCTTCTGCCTTGAAGTTTGTGTCATCCTTGGGTGCTGTTAGATCCTGAGGCTCTGGCAGAGGCTTGCCTTCCCAGTCGTATCTGAACCAGGGTGGAGGGTCGTCGGAGCTGTACTCCTGCTGCTGAATGACCAACGCCATTCTGTGAGCCTCCTCCCTGCAACAACAGTGATTGGCATTGGCTAGGTGCACCAGCAGTTCCCGGCGAACCGCGTTCAGAGGACCAAAGGTGGAGTTGGAGAACTCACTGTCCCAAGTGGAATTCCCTCCCTCGCTCCCTTGACTTGCCGAAAAGGATTACATATGTGATTGTGCTGATACTCAGGCTCCTAAATTATCTGGCTCAGTGATTCCTGGACATGGTGTGTGTGTAGGGAAACTGGGCTTGGCCACAGTGGCCCTCCACCTGGTACCCTGGTTTCTCTGATGAGGGCCAACCTAACCAGTCCATGTGGTTTTGTCTGTAATACACATTTTACTGAGGAAAAGGTGTGTGACTCAGAGGACTCCACGTGCAGATAACTAGAAATACTGTTAGCCTTTCTTAGAGGAAGGAAGGAAAGAAGAAAGGCATGGGGAAAAAATTGTATCTAAGTTAAAAAGAGCCATTTTGATGACAGAAGGGCTTTCATCAGAAGTTGGTTGGAATCAAAAGACTAGTACTGAGACAGGCAGGTCAGTGCACGCCATACCGAGGTCCTGAGTCCCACGGAAGACGGCGAATCACCCCACTACAGACAGGCAGGTCTGCCCACACCCTACCGAGGTCCCCAGTCACGCGGAACACACGCCGAATCAGCCCGCTGCAGACAGGCAGGTCTGTGCACACCCTACCGAGGTCCTGAGTCTCACAGAAGACACCG